TATCAGGGCGGAAGAACATAGTATGCGGAGTCCCCCAGGGGTCTATATTAGGTCCATAATTGTTCTTGTTGTATATAAATGATCTGTGCGAAGTCTCAACAAAGTTGAGATTTATTTTATTCGCGGACGACACAACAATTATTGGTTCTGGCAAAGATCTACAAGTGCTTGTCTCAGAGGTCACAACTGAATTATACAAATTGAAAGATTGGTTCTGTAGAAATAAACTGTCGCTGAATATATTGAAAACAAAAATGATTCTTTTTGGAAACGTAATAGTGATATTCAAATTAAAATCAATATTGATAATGTTCAAGTTGAACAAGTCAAGGAATATACATTTCTAGGTGTGGTCTTCAGCCATAAGGCTAGCTGGAGACCACAAATAGATAGCATTCGAGGGAAAATGGCAAAAAATGTGGCAATTATGGGCAAATGTAGATTTTTTCTGGACCAAAAGGCTCTCTTCACCCTGTACTGTTCCTTAATCCAACCGTACATAAACTATTGCTCAGAGGTCTGGGGAAATACCTTCAATAGTCATTTAGAGGTTTTATATAGACTTCAAAAGAAGGCCATAAGAATCGTTCATAACGTCGGTTATAGGGACCACACAAATATACTGTTTTTAAAATCAAACACAATGAAATTTGATGATCTTATAAAATATAATACTCTGTTACAGGTATATAAAGCTGTAAATAACCAGCTCCCTAGCAACATACAACAAATGTTTGGTAAAAGAGATGGAAGATATGACCTCAGAGGTACTCATTACCTCAAAGTTCAAAGTGTTCACTCTTCCTTAAAAAGTTGCTGTATTACCCGGAGAGGTGTACAATTGTGGAATAATCTAGAGGAACCCTTAAAAGATGTTGCTTGTTTACAGCTATTCAAAAAACTATACAAGAGAAGTGTGTTTAAGAAATATGCTAAAGACATGTAATCTGTTAAGTATTATCGTGAATCTGATTAACCACATCATTGCCGAAAGAACCAGTGTCACCAACCTCAAATTCAAAGCACTACCCGGCACAGGACATAAAACCTTACACAATACATAGTTAGGGCAGCAGGGAGTGGCTAGCTGATGGGGGGGTCTCTGCCCTCAGCCAACTGGCCACGTCACGCCCTTGCTTTTTAATGCATTTCACTTAAAAAGGCAAACAACAAAAAGTAATTCTACAGTCACAACCAATATTTTATAGTGAATCGAGAATGACGGCAAGAGGACATTCTACAAAAAATGTGTAGTGCAAATAAATTATGTGATTCTAAAATGGGAATGATGGTAAGGGGACTTATAATCATGATTATGTATTGATGAGAAAGAAAAATTATGACAAATGTAATGCAAATAATAATGAAATCCTGATCAGTCAAAGGATTGGTGATCGGTATTCTTAGGTAATGATGGTATATGGTTATCATACGAAATGAAGAAAACATAAATAAATAAATAAATAAAAAAATTATATATATATGTCTGTGTATGTATATATATATATATATATATATATATGTGTGTGTGTATGTGTATGTGTATGCATGTGTATATATGAATATATAAACCCACATATATAATAATAATGATTATTTTACCTTGGTAGTCGTGTGAAAAACTTGAGATATATTGTATAATCATGAATGCTTTTCTAATCAATGCTGACGTGTGTTTGGTTAACCTGGACAACTGTAATCGTAGAATTGATTGTGATCATGGATGAGCACATCCACAGAGCCTTGGGTGTGTCTATGTATGGAAATGTCATTCACTAATTGCTTGTAAGTAAACAGGCCCATGCACCTTCTGATGTGCACGTGCCTGGGTAACTCAGGAACTCGTGTTTATTGTATGTAAACTGTATGATGCCTGTGTTCACGGTTATTGTCTGCAGCTTAAAGTGATCACTTGGAACAGGGGGTGGGCACTAATAAGCTTTCTTGCTTCAGCCTACTCCTTTTGAGCCACTTTATAACAGTGTAACCTTGTAACAATGAAAAATATGTTTGTAAAATGCTCAAATAAATAACAATCAATCAATCAATCAATTATAAAATGACGGGGATCTGTCTAACCATTCATCCGGTGCAATGTTAAAATCCCCTCCAAACATTGTAAAACTAATATTATAAGAAAGTTTGAAATCTGTGATTATGTCTGATATATCATCAAACAGCCTTTTGTTCTGATTTAAATTGTTATACCCGTATATATTCGCAACAAGACATAATGATCCCTCCAAGTTAGCAATAATTACAACCCAATGTCCATCTTTGTCAGCTTTATAAGTTATTACTTCTCCAGGAAATCGTTGAAAACATATAGCCACACCCCCAGATCGATTTGTCCCATGTGAAAAATAAATCTTCTCTCCCCACTGGTTCTTCCAAAAAGTCTCATCCTCTTCACAGGAGTGTGTCTCTTGTAAGAAAACAGCATGAGCTTTAAAACCTTTGCAGAAAAAAAAAAGTAGCCTTGCGTTTTACATTGTCTTTCAGACCTCTTGCATTTAAAGAAATAATAGATAGTTCAGATCTTAAATTAAACATAAAAAGGTATAAATAAAAATAAACTTACCCCAACCGAGGTAAGAGACCAGTTCAGTTTATAGAAACAATACAGGTAATCTGAGTACCCTTAAACTGTGAACATCAAAACAGTTCCTCTATTTTCAAATTAACTTTCCTTTATATGTTGAGCATATTTAAATTTTGGTGATTAGATTCGTTTGCCGTTTATGTATCCGTAAGGGCCACGAAAGAATGCCCTTTTTCCTGCTTTTCTTGCCTCGTCGATCTTCGGCCACAGCACCTCCCTTGCCTGTTTAACAGCCTCCGACAAATCTTCAGTGAAGAAAACCCTGGCTTCCTTGCAGACAGCTGAGTCCTTCGTAAGATCCCAGATGTCATCCCTGTCCTTTCTTTTCACAAACCGGATGATGACTGATCGCGTCCACTTCTCTTCTTTCTTCCCGACACGGTGAACCACATCCACGATGTCATCCATTCTCCCCGCCATGCGCGGTGCCACTTTTTTCAGTAGGTCGATAACATCATTACGTATTCGTTCATCTTTTCTTTCATTCCCTTGATTCTTAAATTCTAACGACGGCTGTGGGCCTCTTGATGAGTGACTTTCTTCTTCAAATCACGGTTTTCTTTTTCCAGCGACACAACTTTTTCTTCCAAAACTGCCACATTTGTCTTGCATTCTTTTATCTCGGCAGCATTAAACTCGAGTGTTTTAGCTAGGCTGCAGATCATGGTACTATTCTCTCTGATTTTGGACTTTACGTCTTCCAAACCACTTTCTTGTTTATCAAAACGGGAGTTCAGACGAGTTATAGCCATCATTATAGACTCAAATGAAGCCTCTTGATTGGGTTTTACCCTCTTTTCCATCGGAGCTCTTTTCTCCGGAGTGTTCAGCGGAGAGTCCTCAAGCTGCCGCTTGTCCGCCCCTGCACAAGTGGTTTCCATGGCGGCGTAGTCATGGAACAGAGGCCCGCCTTTTGCATTCACCATCCTCCCGTCCTTGGTAGATTCATCGTTTGAGGTCATTTTCGTTCTATTTTCCTTCAAATCAGCTACTTTACGTTTTGAAAACGTAAAACAGTTCCAACCAACTTGTTTGTTTGGAAAGTTTTTGTCCTTCTGAGGAACTTTACGGAGAAGACGGAAAAGTTTCCCCGCTCAGTCGGCCATCTTGCCGCCTCTCACCCATAAGAAATATCTAATTTTAACATTTGTGTCAACTGAGATGTGCGTCATACGCGGCCCCGCGCCGGGCGGCCGCTGTTGTAAAAAAACCAGCATGTGCCACATGAGTCCGCATAAATCCCAAAGCTAAAAAGGGAAATAGTTGATAAGAACCAAGAACTCCAGGAAAATGGACTGTAACATTTGGCTCTCATTGAGTCAAAGAGGAAGGACTGCTTCATGTTTGCTTTGTAATGAGAATAAATTGAAGAACAAAAAGAGTCATGTGGAAAATCGGCTGCTGACCCCAGTTTGGAGAGAAACAGTGCGATCGCAGTTATTCTGGAGGATTCATCTCCAAACTTCGAGAGGCATCTGGCTGCAGAATCCCCCCCCCTTGCAGACCTCCATGTTCAGCCCCTGTCACGTGACCTCCACCAGGAGCCCCTGTCACGTGACCTTCGCTGTTTCACTTCACTGCGACTTAAAACGTTTTTCTTCATAAAGTTATAAAGCTTACATTTAACATATAGTATATATTATGTAACAAACAAAAATAGTGACGTTTGTTCCACAAATTGTGACCAGGTATTATGTATATGAGCGATCCCTGTTTTCATCTGGGCATTTGGGATGCCAAAGGACAATTCTGTTGCCATTTGTTTACAAGAGCGCCACCTACATGTCACCCATAGTATAGCACATGAAAACACGTCAAAAAGACAATATATACATGGTAGAGATACCATCGCGAGGTTTTATTATAGTAAAGGGCTGCAACTTCTAGATGCTTATTCCATTCATCTATATTATTCTCACAACAGCTTTAAAGTTACATAGGTATCCACTATTTTTTTCTATTTTAGAGGAATAAGAGTTAGCTTGACCTATAGGTCTACACCCATTTTTGATTTTCCTACCGTTCTGTAACCTGTGATGCTATACTGAACATTCCCCTTTTGTGGTGAATAAATTATCAATGATAAGGCCGTTCAATTATTTATTATACATTCACAATACAACACATATCCCGTCTTATCAACACACTCAACAGAAAAGCGTTCCATGTCCTCAATATGAGAGAACACAAACTTGAAGGGCTCCAAGATGTTCTCTTGCTCCTCACTGTCTGGGTCAAAACCAGTCTCCCTAAACTGGGAGAAGTCTGCTTCAGCCTTAGCAGCTTCATCTCCTTCCCAGTCCAGCACAGGAGGAAACTGTATTTTTCCAGTGAATAAAAACAGGTTGTCCTTTGCCCAGCTTGCTGCTAATTAACAATCTTTTAGGACTTTCCGGTCTCAACGTTCCTAGAATGAAGACAAACATCAATGTGAATTTAAATGTATTAACAGTTAATGGATCGCCTTGGGAGGGCTCGAGCTCCTTCGGTTTATCCGTGCACAAATAAACTGATAATGGTCTCATAGCTGCTCATTAGCTCTTTTGCCCACCCTCCTGTTCTCCCAGTGCAGAGAACAGATTTTCCACTTTAATTATTATTATTTTTTTCTTTCATTTGTGGATTCAATTTATAGATAACACTATTTATCAGTTTGCAATGACACAGCTGGTGCGAGGGTCCACATGCACCATTTTAATTCAGTGTATGTGTGGGTATGGTTGCTCACACATGAGCCATGAGGATATTAAAATTCTTGTTCTCAGTCTCCCTGCATTCACTATAAATCATTGTATTTTACATTCCTGTGGTAGGTAGTTGCAACCAAAAAAATCCAATAGTGAAAGACTGTTGGATAAGAACCCAAGTTTTATGACTCACTTGTGTAGCAGGCAACAGGTCTGTCTGTTGCAACTTGCGCTTTTTCACCCTCAGAACTGGCTGTACTTCCCCTCGAAGCATAGCCTTGGCTTCCTCCGTCCAATGGGCAAATAATTTGCCATAGCTTGAGTAAGAGGGTATTAATGGAACATTGAGAATATTGACAATAGAAACATTCTCTTCGAGTAATACTTTGAGAACAAATGAATCTCACCTCCCAAGGTCAAAGGTCTCCATCAGTAACAAACACCACCATTTCCTCAGAGTTGGCATGTCTTCCTTAAAAGTCCAAGAAGAGTCAATTATTAGTTAGCAATGTAACTGTAGTTTTACAGACAGAACAGGAAACTTGTCTGAAATTTCCTAGGCAGATGTAGTTTCAACAGCTGGTCATGCACAGAGCCCATTTCGTAGGATCATGAGGGGGTCCCTACACTATGAGGTAGAGCCAAGCTCATGCCCAAGAAAAAGGATATACTTACAACTGTGAAGTCAAACTGCGCTTCCAGTACAGTGTACTGTGAATACTATGAAAAAGTGTAAAGTTTGGTTAATACTCAATCAATGTAAGAAAATATGTGAAATGGAAGCCATACCATCAACATAAAGATGCCGCAATCATTGCCATATAGCTGCTTTGGAAGATCCTTTAAAAAAAAAAATGAACAAAAAAAGAAAAACAATTGGAGAGATTAGTGTGAATTATTTGGCATTTCTCATTTCCAATTGTCTTACCTGCATTTCCAAACCTGTCCTCTCTGTCCATGGTTCCCCAGGGATTATGGATTTGCACACATTTCTACAATAACATTGTGGATAGATGCTTCAGTGAAAAGCAATACATTAATCATTAAGCTGCAGAACTCAACAGGGCATTTAAAGATGCATCTTCTATTCAAATTACTTGGCTGTATGTGCCAAAAGGTTTTACACTTCAAGAGCAGAGTTGTCTCCATCTTGTGGACAATGTGAACATTAAATAAGCAGTTGCACAGGTGAGACAGCAGGATACGTCTTTACCTGCATGTCCTCTATTGTAACTTCTCTCCTCTCTCGCTCCTGCCTTTGCCCTCCATCTTTTACATTCAATAGTTTTTTTAGAAAAACAAGTCATGAATATCTTTTTTAACATCTTTAAAAGCCCTTAAAGTACAGATCCGAACGTGATCTGAAGAACTCAATAACCTCTCTGCGGAACGGCAAAGGAACAGGAACCACGTAATCATACTAAAAGGTGACCTCAGGATTCCCCTTATTTTCGAATCACCAAATCCAAACTGTGCCACTGCATATTGGGAATCCAGAAATAGCACTTCTCTCTGGCTTGGCCTCAAAACCTGTATTTGCATTTCATTAACGTTTACATTGTTATACTACTTAATTTGTCTCCCTCCGAAAAGTTATACAGAATACTTACAGACAACATTAGGTATTAGATGTATTTCTTTAGATGTAAATATTTAACCTATGAACTCACAGAGCACTTGCGCGGATGCTTGCTTGGTCCAACATGCTTTACGTGGCTCACCATCTGTAATTACACATTTTCACAATGAGGCCCAAGCATCTAGAATATCAGTAAGATGTAACAAGTTAAAGTAAGTCATATCAGAATTTTAACATAAGATGACCTCAACTGGCACTGTCAGTGTACAGCATGCTTGCATTGCTGGAAAACCAAGAGTAATGAGTGGTCATGTAGGTTCTTCGTGCATTAAATGGGAATTGAAGTTTATTCACCAATATGGCTTGCCAAGTATCTTCTCAATGTCGTGAATTGTTTGTCATCTTTGCAATTGTCTCTTTATGTATTTATCGTTTTTTGTGTTATTTTGGTGATGTATTATGTTTCGCATGAGAAAAATGTGGGTTGAGGGGGCCATGTTGTTAAGGAAGTAATTGTTCTTCCTTAAAGGGGCAAACAGCTGCTCTGCGACTTGACTGTTTAGTGATATGTGCAGTTCAGGGACAATTCAAATTCGCCTGAGAACTTCTTGAGGACTTTTTGTGTTAGTCTCATGAAATTTGTCATAAAGTATATAGTGGTCTGAGGAACCAGTTATCGGATGTCCATTGGGGTCAGGAAGGGCAAGCTTTTGATGAAGCCACGGCAGAGACACCTTTAGTTTTTTTTTGTTGAGCTGCTGCAATGTTCTCTGGGATAGACGACGCTAGTCTTCCTTCATGAGGCTTAAAAGGAAGATCTATTGGTGACCGTAAATTTCCGTGTGTTGCCAACCCCCGGGCAAAATCATACACACAAACATTTGGAATGTGCTCCCAGGAAAAAAGAAGATCAGCAAAGTCCCGTGGGGACTCTGCCCTGATATTGAATATAATGCTGTAAACAATGCCGTAAGGACAGAGTATCACAGACCAGCCACCTTAAAATAAAAATTAAAAGTTACCAAAAATGCATAATACAAATTTTTGAGGATGAAGAACATGAGCTGTACCAGATGCTCCCCAGATCTTTTGGAACACTTTGTCATAAGTGTGCCTGGACTTCATTTCCTCCCGGAGTCGTAGTATGAGGTATATACGCGACCCATTCGAGTCCAGGTTGCAGGCTTTGCATAGTTTACGCACTGTTGAAACCTTAAAGACACCAAATATATTCCATATGTAAATCATAAAGTAATACAAAATACTACATTCACACTATGGCTGTCAAAGTTAACATTCATGCGATTGATCAAAAAAATGAATGCATATAGCGTGGTTTAATCATAGATTAATCTCAGCCTGATGTCTCCCAATGCTTATGTTTAGGAGGCTTCCCGAACCTAGAGCAGGGACACTCTGCTGTGACCACGGTGTGCCACATTCACAAATTTCTTGTAATACAGCTCCATATCTATATTAAACTTTGAAAATGTAATTTTAACTCATAATTGTAATCTTTTATTGAAATGCCTTCCATCACACTTTGTACAGCGATTAAATACTGACATTACTATGCACTATGAGATTAGTCAAATTTCAAAAGTATTCACACGCACCTTTTGTTTCATCAGCTCATCAACCAGCCGATCCTCTGTAACAAGAACCTCTGCTGAAGTGACAGTCTGATTTGAGGCAATTTTTTCAAACTCTGTGTTCAAGGCCATGTTTGATTTTCTTGTCCTCCTTCCAATCCATGGAGCCCAGTATTCATAACTGTGATGAACAGTAAATGGCTTCTCAGAACAAGCTTAACAAAAAATAAAACCAAAAGGTAAATAACAAAAATAAACAATCCGTCAATCATTGTCTTTACTTTTTAAAAATCCTCGGGAGATCATGTCAAAGTCAATCGATTTCCAAAAGCCGTCAGTGTCAACTACTCCATTGAAGGTAGATGAGGCCGCTGCAACCTCACTTACTGAAAAAAAAAAACAGAAAAGAGTTAGCGTTATTAAACAGGACAGACAGCCATGACTCAGGAAAGTGCCCTAGGAGGACGAGTCTGTCTCTTGCAACCCTTAACTTATATATTAGGAATTCATTAGAACTTTTTTCAAAACATTGCCACGTCTTACCAGGAAGGTTAAACACCCCTTTCCTGTGAAGGTCCATGACCACAGTGTGGGGGTGGTATCCACAACTGACAGATGAATACTCATATGTCTGATCTGTCATGGCTTCAAAGTGGCAGTAAGCATGGAGAATGGCATTTCTGGAAGGAAAGGGTTTTCCTCTGAGGCCTTCCAGAGAATTGATTACTTTGGACACGGCAACATTGTTCTGCAGGAGATTTGTTTCATTAATTTAAAAAACGAAGCCATATTGTTAAGATGGATGAACATGCCAAAAATAAAATAAACAAACCTGTAGATTATGCCTCAAGTACAGACACATCTCAAGGTTTAAAACGAGATGGTCATCAAAGTCATGTAGCCCATCTTTCCACTCTTGATACAGAGACATTGGGCCTCATTCACGAACGGTTCTTAGGAACAGATTTGTACGTAAATCCTACTTACGCGGTTTTTACGAAGAAAGTGGCATTCACGAATATTTCTCGTAACCAGAATTTCTCTTGGGCAAGTACAAATCCTCCTACAACGAGTCCTCAGGAGCACTCGTACGCATTCAGTGCCGACATGTTCACACGCGGGGGTTGTCCTCTTTGGTGAAGTTGAATAAAAATACAACATTCCAGTGATATGTCCGTCATATCGATGTATGTATTTATTTATTTGTAGTAATCTTTATTAGTAATCTTTATTTATATACCGCCTTTTTCACTGCAGATCTGGCCTACTTTTTAATTCATTTTGAAATGAAATGTGCCAACGCTTTATCAAATACATTGGAAATCTTGCCGTGTATTAGTGACCCCTTCCTATTTATAGGGGGCATTTCTTTATCCACGGGCCACAGAACAACGGCATATATACTGCTGCTGCAGGAGGTTACTGGGTCCGCGCTGAGTCTCTGCGCTGGTCTCTCCCATGGATCTATACAGGTCTGCGCTGGTGTCTCCCATATACGGGTCTGCACTGGTCTCTCCCATGGATCTATACGGGTCTGCACTGGTCTCTCCCATATACGGGTCTGCACTAGTCTCTCCCATGGATCTATACTGGTCTGCACTGGTCTCTCCATACGGATCCGCGCTGGTCTCTCAAGTCTGGTCTATGCGGTCTCTCTTCGGTCCGCGCTGGTCTCTGCGCACCGGTCTCTCCAGTCAGGTCACTACAGTCTATGCGTCTCTCTCCTATAGGTCCGCGCTGGTTTCTGTGTGCTGGTCACTCCAGTCTCTCCTCGGGTCTGCATTGGTCTCAGCGCTGGTCCGCGCTGGATCTCCTCCCAGGGTCCAAAATATTTTGAGATTAATCTCAAAACATTTTGAGATTCATCTTTAAAATAATACATAATATATTTTTAAATTAAGCTCATAACATTTTGAGATTAATCTCATCATATTCTTAGATTAATCTCATAATTTTGCTAGTTCGACTTTATTATCATAATATTTCGACTTTTAAGTCAACATTTTATAACTTTATTCTCAGTCTGGTAAAAGAAGAAAAAAGGGTGACTTTTGCTCCGTGTAAAGGCCTGTTGCTGTTTCCTCTGCCGTCTGCACACGGCCCTGCAGTCCCTTATATGGGCATTAGTGGGCGGTTACTTATGCTAAGTACCTATGCTAATGAAGCACCTGGCACGCGCGCTCTACTTACGAGGAAATGGGATTCATCAATCTGAGAGAACAGCTGCGAACAATTCAACGGCTTACGAGTGCGTTGATGAATCCCACGTGGGGACTTCTTAGAAATCTACTTAAGGACAACTTGAGAAGAAAGTTGAGTAGTTTCTTACGAAGTTATTCGTGAATGAGGCCCATTGAATGAACTCCCAAAATTGTACCCCCCTACACTTTTCTGCTTAACACCCTTTTTTCTACCCCTCAAATTTGCTGTGCAGTCTCTTCCACAAGCCTATTTTCAAAAGAAGACTTAAAAAAAAAAGATTCAAGACTTTAACATTTTAATCATGATGTAGTCACAGTCACTTCCTAAATTACAAATAGCTCTAGCAATTCTTTTAGCTCTCTTTTTTAAAATCGGCTCTTTTCCATCAAGTACCACTTGTTTTGTTGCAAAAATATGTTTATTTTGTGGATTATTTATGTATGTTCAATTCTAACTGTGCTTTTTGTTTTCAGTTAATACTCTGTGGGCTTCAGAGGATAAGGGCCACGTTCAAGCAGTTGTTGGCCCTTATAAACTGCATGATACCTCCTTTCGCACCCT